TAGCATGCTTGCGTTCCGCTAGTGAGGTCTTGGATGCCCAGTTGGATCGATGAAGTGACACTGCTGATTGGATCCAACCTGATCAAAACAACTGTTCAGTGCTTCCTAGTTTTCCAGTTCATTCGTCATTCGCTACTTACACGACGCATTTTTCATTTTAAATATATATATATATATATACAATGCAAATTCGATGTGTTTAGATTGATTACCAATTGTTCCCGGGTAATAATAGAACAATATGATGTTGTAGGCATTGAACAAGGATTCAGTGAACTGCTATCAAGAAGTTTTGCGAATCAACAAACTCTGGGGACTGCTGACTGATGAGAGAGAGAGTGAGTAGACGAATAATCTTGCAAGCGACGAGAACATCAGTCGAAGCGAAGATAAGACAGTTCAATCCGATTCGTCATGTACATGTTAACTACTCATAAAATGTGTGCGATGCACAATTTTTTGTTCTTTTACGTCAGCTACACTACTACTTGATTCGTTTGCTCACTCCGTGAGTTTAGTCTCAATTGTCTTTTCATTTATTCGTTTTCTTGCATAAATCCCTCATGTCTAAAAGCACCTTTACCAATAAATAAGTTTAAGCTCCAACTTCTCAATGGTATTTAAATTGGTGCTGTTTGGTGGCGGTTAGCCATGTATTTACATCCGTTTTGGTGAGCTCAGATCCTTTCGTGTGGAAGTTAATTTACACGAACATACCGATATTATCGTTGTAGAACTGGATGGTGCCCATGCTGATCCAAATATCACCTAATTTTTGGCACTGATTATTGAACACATTTGCTTATCTGTAACGTAGTCACCTTTGTGTTAATCTCCTCCTATAAACAAACAGTCGTCGGACCGATAGTTCCTCAATCCAAACGCCTACGGAGCTAGACTCGTCTGCCATATGCAACATACAACGGCGGGTTAAAAGTATTTGTTTAGCGTAGACATCGAATATTTTATAACTGTGGGTGTTTTGAACAAACCAGATTATTTTCTTTTCGATATATTACCTTAGGTGGTGGCATGTAACGGACGATCATAATATCCGTATCTGATTGGCTGATCAAAACTCAGTTTACAACGATTACAGAAGCGATCAGGCGGAGCAAGCGAATATAATAAGGCTAGCGGTATTCAATGCTAGAGTCGTGGAGGGGGGTATTTCATTTGTCCTTTGTCCTATCAACCCCCCACCCCCATTGCTGCTTCACTAGAATTTTGTTGGTTTCACAAGGTGCTTGGAAGTGGTGACATATATCTGCAGCTGAGACATTATTTTTATCCTGATTTTTTTCTCCGAACGAGCCATCTGGTTTACCAAAGTTGTACTACTGAGGTTGGCAATAAAATGTTCTGTTTGAAATTCTATCAGTATTCTTTTTCTTTCACATTTGTCTGCTACATTAACCCAATTCTATGTTTCTTTATTCTTCAGGGTGGTAAAGTGCCTATTCGGTGGACGGCACCGGAGGCTGTGATCTATCGTCGATTCACTATTGCTACGGATATTTGGTCATTTGGAATTGTCAGTTGGGAACTGTTCAGCTACGGTACACGGCCTTATTGGGAGTGGACCAATCAGGCTGTCATATCCATGCTAGAGAAAGGCTATCGTCTACCCTGTCCAACCGGCTGCCCCCCGGCAGTGCACAGAATGATGCTGAATTGTTGGGCTACGGATGCGGAAAAACGTCCGGATTTTTGTGCTATTCAAACATTACTCCAGAATTTAATGGACAGCGAAAATCAGGATTTGATTGACACAACGGAGGAACAACAAAAGAACGCAAACAGTAGTGCATCCGAAGGATTCAAGCGTCCATCAGTCAATGGGAGCCTCACACGGAATGTCAACACCCTTTCCACAAACAATACAGCCACAAAAGCGAGCACTGCCATTGTAAACACTACGATGACCAATACATACGTAGGAGACAGCAAGCCTGCTCTAGCTGAACTTGATTTGCGGTCAAATAGTGTAAACTATCACAACGTTTCCCATCCAAATCAACAACAACAACAGCAACAACAGCCTAAACTAGTCACTCAACGCCAACCACAATCGGTGAGCACTGATTGGGAAAAACTGGGACCGCGTCCTATGGAAAATTTGAGATACCAATCATCAATCGGAATGTCGTCCGAGAATCATGTGACTCACAACCTGATTTCCGGTCCGCCGCGAGCTGAAACAGCTAGTCCATATTGCAACGTGAACAAATACTGTGATAACACTATTCCAACCACAAGTGAACAGTCCATCAGTTCCAACGACCAAACCCATTTCCTCAACCGTGGATGGCTTCGTGCTTTTCCTGATCCACCAATATTACAGAATGTCAATTTCCATTTGCCCGAACTATTCTCTTTACGTCGAATTCGATATTGAACCTGACCCAGTAATACCTATATTTATATAGCCCAACCACAACAACAACGAAATAGAGGCTGAGTCAGATTGTAAGATATTTACTTATAGGCCAAGTACCAATATCCATTCACGTGTGCAAATAAACATTTAAACAGACATATTTATACTTCCCGGTTGCTGGACATCAATTTTGTTTTCCGTCTATATCGTTTTATCGAATACAGTAAATTTTGAACAGATGATATGTTACTTATGAATTCATGAATTCAAATTTCCCCAACAGTTTACTCCTGATGGGATTTCTATTGAAAGCTAAAGGAATGGGTTCGTCTTATTGCCACCAGGGTGTCGCAGGTTGACGGTATTTTGTTCTATCTTCAACCAGTCTGGTTGTAAAATGGTATTTGCCGGTTTCTCATTTATCAAGTAAACGCCTGTTCAAACACCTTCAGCTTCATCTACCCCCTCTCCGAGGGGTACTAAAACGTCCCAAGCCATCGTATTCCTTGGATTTTCACATTTCAGGTGCTTTTTCTCAAGTTTGAGGTCAAGATTGACTTGGTATTTCTTCTGGTACACAAGTCTGTCTTGTATCACTTAAAATTGGTTTAATAAGTGTGTGCTAAGAAAACTTGTTTCGATATAAACTGATCAACTGTAAGTGAAACTCTGATGCAAGAACCATGTTATTGAAATCATTCTCCATCAATATCACGTGCAACATTTTGCCTCAATTGGGAAATGGGGTAATCAGAATATTTTACTGATTATTATTATCTGGTTTCAAGTGAGTAATGGAATATTCGATTCAATTTCAAAGGGGAAATTCGTCGTACAAATAGCAAATGAATCATGAACTGGAAGGGTAGGAAGCACTGAAATGCTGTTTCGACTTGGTTGGATTGCATTAGTAGTGCCACTCCATCGACCCAACTGGGGATCGAATACGAGACCTCACAGACAATCTGGAAGTAGTCGAAAGCTTTGCTTACCTGGACAGTTGTATAACGGCTGGCGGAGGTGTGGGCGAGGAAATGTCTCAACGCGTGATCAAAGTCGGATTAGCGTTTACCAATCTGCGACATTTCTGGAACCG